TCATCAACATCATCATCATCATCATCATCATCATCATCATCATCATCATCATCTTTATCGGGACACCGACGGGACACCGGCGGGACACCGCGCCCCACCGGCCCCAGGTCAAGAATCATTTGGTCCGGCCGCGCCTCAGCCTGAGGCGGGACACCGGTGGGACACCGCGCCCCAACGGCCCCTGGTCAGGAATCATTTGGTCCGGCCGCGCCTCAGTCGGAGGAGACTTTCTTCTCGCCCGCCCACGCAGCTTCGCCTCGCCCGCACGCGCGGCACGCACGAACACGAAACCGAAACCGATTTCCCGGTAGGGGGGCTCTTCGTTCCACTTCGATCTCACCCCCTCACCTCCGATACCCTGAAGCTTGAACTTCGAAATCTTTACGAGAAAGAGGATAACATGGAGCCCTCTTATTAGCGCTGTGCGTATCCGGCTCGCGTCATAAGCTAGCACCAACATCAGGGCGGATGGACGGCCGTTTTCAAAACGGAGCCCTCGTCTTACCCCCACGCACATTCGTTTCAAAAACTTCCGACAATTACAAGGAAGGAGGGGGACCGTTGTCAAAATGGAGTGCCCGCCCCAGATCTGCGCGCATTCGTGTTTAGAGCTCGCCGCACCTACATGGTCGGAGGGGGGGGCGTGTTCAACTGGGAGTCATCGCCTCATGGCCGCGCCCCTTCGCCTCACACGTTCACAGCGAGTGGAAGGATCACGGCGAGTGGAAGGACAGAGGGCGGCTCCCTTTCAACATCGGGCTCTCGCCTTGGCGCTGCGCCCGACGCGTTGAACACTTGCAGATCTTACAGTTTTTTTTGTTTTGTTGTGTTTTGTTTTGTTGTTGGTGTTTCTCCAAAAAGGGGGCTCTCGCTTGAGACTTGCACAATCTTACAAGCCAGTGGCTGGAACTTGTGCGTCTGATGCACGGGTGGAGGACGCTTCCTGTCAGAGCCTGGGCACTCGCCTCGGGCCTGGCTGCCCCGATGCGCAGCACGCGACACGCAGCGGGTCGATACGGAGCTCAGCACGTACAGTCAACCCGCAGAGTAAGGATGCGCGATAAGGATGCAAGGGCCTTGGACGCCCATTTCGAAGCGTTTCGAGCGGGGCGCGGCCAACGAAAGTGTCCAAGGATGGACCCAGGAAGCAAGGATGCAAGAGTACCCTTGGGAGGGATGCCTATCCTTACTCTGTGGGTCGACTGTACCCTGAAAGCGTAGGTCTGACGCGATACGTTCGCCAACGCGTGGGCCAGTACGTTGAGTCAACACGCAACGTATTGACACGGACGTTTTGAGCACGGTACGTGTTGCGTATCAGAACGTGCGTATCGAGGCAGCTGAGCTTCGAAGTTCATTGCCAGACGTGTAAACTTGCGCGACGCAACTTGGGGCCAGTCTTTGTTCGAAGCGGGGATCTTTCTGGGCACGTCGTTGAACTGTATGGCGTTGTCTTCGCGAATCTGACCACGCGCTAAAACCATGCAAGGCAACTCCTTTTCAAAATGGGGCTCTCGCCTGAATGTCAGGCCCACAGGGTGCTGGCCTTTCAAAGGGACGCTTCTAATAGTGAGAAAGGCTCGTGATTTATGAGGAGGGGACTTGGGACGGAATGGTTTATCGCAACATCGTTGGTGCATCTTGAACTTATTTTGGTCCTCCTCCTCCTCCTCCTCTTCCTCTGCCTCCTCTCTCTCTGCCTGGATTTCTACCAGCCCACGTCGATCGGACCAATCTGCAACGGACAACCACCGTTTTCGGAGGATTGTTTTTCACCCCGGGTAGCTTTCCACTGGTCCAGGGGCCCCGTGAGGGCCCCCGTAGGCCTGAGATCTCCAGACGCCCTGCGCCGATTTTTTCCGCGACGCCAGCGGGCGCCGCAAAAAGCCTCGGGGGGGGGAGGCACCGCTTCTGGCGGAGAGTCCTGCTGGAAGACGGCCACTCGCTCGCGGATCCCCGGGCTGACGCTGTGCACGATGACCCAGCCTTTTTTTTGGGGGGGGGAGCTGGCCATCGCTCGGACGTCCATTTCCTGTGTTTTTTTCCGGCTTCGTGCGCGGTTTTCTCGCGCAGTGATCAAGGATGCTCCTCGATGCTCCTCGCCGAAGGAAAAATGCACACGTCCAAGCGATGCCAAGGGGGAGGGACCGTCCCCGCAGCGGCGGGGGACGACGACGGCGAGGAGGCGGAGGCGAGCGCAGAGACGGGGGGGGGTTTTTTTTTTTTTTTTTTTTTTTTTTTTTGTTTTTTTGTTGTTGTTGTTTTTTTAGAATATATATAATATATTATTATTATTATTATTCTCGTTGTTTTATCTTTTAAAGATATATGCTATTACTTCATATATATATATATATATATATCTGTGCATATTGTTTGCTTGTTTGTTGTTTGTCCCTGTCACGGCACGAGTCGCCAACACGATGCTTCCAGAGCGGCCAGAGCGGCCCCTTAGATGGGACCCGAGTAGGCGGGGTCGAAGGATCGCGCCGCATCGCCAATGCATCGGCGGCGTCGGCGAGGCATCGGCGCCACCAGCGTGGAGAACATCGGGTGCCACATCGAGCCGCATCACCGATGCATCAGCGATGCGGTGCGATCCTCCGACCCCAGCTACTCCGACCCCAGCAAGGAAGCCTAGATTCCGACCTCGAGTACTGCATATCACCGCAGCCATGATGCGCCGCGACTACGGCGGCGAGGAGGAAGGGAGGAGGGGGACGCAAAAAACACATTCCCAGCGGTCTGAATCTGCTTGGGCTTTCAGGGGCCTCTGGGAAGAAGGGGGAAGAAAGGGGAGGAGGGGGACGAGGATGGGGGGGGAACTCTTTCCAGGCGTTTGTGGGCCTCCCCGGGCTCTCAGGGAGCTCTGGGGAGCAGGAGGAGGGGAAGGAACAAGTCCCGAGCTTCTTGAGCCCTCCTGGGTACGTCGAGGTTTCGCCGCGCGGCCGCCCGTTGCCGCCCACTTTGGGGGGTCCTTCGAGGCTTCGCCGCGTCGCCGCCCGTTGCCGCCTCGTCGTTGCCGCCTGTTTGGGCTGGCCCGTCGAGGCTTCGCCGCGTCGCCGCCCGCCATTGCCGCCTCGTTTCCGCCTACTTGGGGGTTCCGTCGAGGTTTTGCCACGTCTCCGCCCGTCTCCGCCTCGATGCCGTCCACCGCGCTTGGGGGGTCCGTCGATGTTGCACCACATAGCTTGCACCACAAAGCTTGCACCATGTAGGTTGTATCACATAGCTTACACATCCAGCCGCAGTGCAACAACTGACTGTTGTGGGTCTACGCTGTCTACAGTTTGGCACTTGAGCCAACGAAATTACGGCTCGTCTCCCTCCTCGCTCCCTCCTACGGATTCTCCTCCTCCCCTGTGACCTCTGGTGGTCTTCAGCGACATCTAGAGGATGAGAGACGCTCAAAACATCGACGCATTCCCTCTCCGTCTCTGCGTCTCTCCTCCGTCTCTCCTCCGTCTCTCCTTCGTCACTCCTCCGTCTCCTCTCCGTCTCTCCTCCGTTTTTTCTCCTTTTCCTTTCCTCCTGCTCCCTTTCCTCCTCCTGCTCCCTTTCCTCCTCCTGCTCCTTCTCCTCCTCCTCCTCATCATCCTCCTCCTCCTCCTCCTCCTCCTCCTCCTCTCCTCCTCCTCTCCTCCTCCTCCTCCTCCTCCTCCTCCTCCTCCTCCTCCTCCTCCTCCTCCTCCTCCCTCCTCCCTCCTCCCTCCTCCCTTCCCTCCTCCCTCCTCCCTCCTCCCTCCTCCCTCCTCCTCCTCCTCCTCCTCTTTCTCCTCCTCCCTCCTCCTCTCCTGCTCTTCCTCCCCCCCTCCTCTTCCTCATTCTCTCCCCCCCCACCGTCCTCTCCCTCCCCCTCCCCCTGTCCGCCCTCCTCCTCCCTTCGCCTCCCTTCTCCTTCCGAGGGTATGCCGGCTCCCCCACCGCGAGGCACCCTGCGACAGGTCGTCGTCCGCCCAGGTGTGCCTCGGCTTCTCCCGCTGCCCCTGCGGGCGAGCGTCGTCGCCAGCCGCCGCCGCCGCCGTCGCCATGGCCGTCGCCATCGCCATGGCTGGCCGTCGCCGTCATCGTCCGCCGTCGTCGTCCTCCTTGGTCGTCCTCATCCTCCTCCTCCTCCTCCTCCTCCTCCTCCTCACCCTGCTCAACCGCCGTCGTCGTCGTCGTCGTCGTCGTCGTCGTCGTCGTCGTCGTCGTCGTCCTCGTCGTCGTCGTCGGCGTCGTCGTCGTCACCGTCGTCGTTCGTCGTCGTGGTCGCCGTCCCCAGCTGTCGTCGTCGTCGTCCGTCGTGATCGTAAATTCGGTTGCCGTCTCCGACGTCGTCGTCGTCGTCGTCGTCGTCGACGTCGTTGTCGTCGTCGTCATCTTCGTCGTCAGTTGTCGCCGCCGCCTCCGCCGTTGAAAACGCCGTCGCCGTCGCCGTCGCCCTCGCCAACGCCGCCGCTGCCACCGCCGCCGCCGCCGCCGCCGTCGTCGTCGTCGTCGTCGACGTCGTCGTCGCCGTGGTCGTCTTCGTCCCCAACTGTCCTCGTCGTCCGTCGTCATCGTAACTTTCGTTATCGCTTCCGTTGTTGTCGTCGTCGTCGTCGTCGCTGCCGCCGTCGCTGTCGACGCCGTCGTCGTCTTCGTCATTGTCGTCGTCGTCGTCGTTGACGTCGCCCTCGTCGTCGTCGGCGTCGTCGTCGTCGTCGTCGTCGTTCGTCGTCGTTCGTCGTCATTCGTCGTCGTAGTTGTCGTCGTCGTCGTTCGTCGTCGTCGTCGTCGTCGTCGTCTTCGTCCCCAACTGTCGTCATCGTCCGCCGTCATCGTAGTTTCCGTTGTCGTTTCCATTGTCGTCGTTGTTGTCGTCGTAGTCGTCGCCGTCGTCGTCGTCGTCGTCGTCGTCGTCGTCGTCGTCGTCGTCGTCATGGTCGTCATCGTCGTCGTCGTTGTCGTCATGGTCGTCGCCGTCGCCGTCGCCATCGCCGTCGCCGTCGTCGTCGTCGTTGTCGTCGTCGTCGTCGTCGTCGTCGTCGTCGTCGTCGTTCGTCGTCGTCGTCGTCTTCGTCGTCGTCGTCGTCGTCGTCCCCAACTGTCGTCGTCGTCCGTCGTCATCGTAGTTTCCGTTATCCTGTTCGTTAACGCCGTCGCCGTCGCCGTCGTCGAGGTCAGCCGTCGCCGTTGCCGCTGCCCTTGCCGTCGCCGTCGAAGTCGCCGTCGCCGTCGCCGCCGCCGTCGTCGTCGTCGACGTCGTCGTCGTCGTCGGTCGTCGGTCGTCGGTCGTCGGTCGTCGGTCGTCGGTCGTCGGTCGTCGGTCGTCGGTCGTTGGTCGTCGGTCGTCGTCGTCATCATCGTCGTCGTCGTCGTCGTCGTCCTCGTCGTCGTCGTCGTCATCGTCGTCGTCGTCCGCTGTCGTCGTCGTCTTCGTCATCGCCCTCGTCCTCCGCCGTCGTTGTCGTCCATCGTCATCGACGCGATTTCCGTTGTCGATTTCGTCGAATTCGTCGTCGTCGTCGCTTTGATGAACAAGTGCTCGCCTCTGTGGGGCCTCCTGGGGGGGCCCCCGCCGCCGCGTCGTACCACGCCCCTGCGATCCTGGTCGGGACGCGCTGCGGGCCCCAGCGCCGCTCGCCCACTCTCGACAGCTCTCCTCTGCCTGGGCCTTCCTGGGGGGCCCCCGCCGCCGCGTCGTAACACGCCCTTGAGATCCTGGTCGGGGCGTGCTGCGGGCCCCGGCGCCGTTCGCCCACTCTCAGCAGCTCTTTCCTCTGCCTGGGCCTTCCTGGCAGGCCCCCGCCGCCGCGCGCGGGGCCCCGCCTCGGGAGATCCTGGCCAGCCTGCGCGCAGGGACCCGTGCAGGGAGTCGTCTCCGAGGCGCCGTCTTCCTCGCCGTCGTCGTCGTCGTCGTCGTCGTCGTCGTCGTCGTCGTCGTCGTCGTCGTCGTTCGTCGTCGTTCGTTGTCGTTCGCTGTCGACGTCGCCGTCGTCGCCGGCTGTCGTCGTCGGCGTTGCCCTCGTGCCCCGGGCCACCCTGTGCTTCGCGCTTGGCGCCGCCGTGCGGCCACCGGCGTGCTCCCGCGCCGCCGCCCTAGGGAGGAGAACTCGTCTGGCGTGGGCTTTCGGCGCGCGCTTGGCCTTCCTCGCGCGGCGGGTGACCCTGACACGCGTGCTCGTCGTCGTCGTCGTCGTCGTCGTCGTCGTCGTCGTCGCCGTCGTCGTCGTCGTCGTCGTCGTCGCCGTCGCCGTCGCCGTCGCCGTCGTCGTCGTCGCCGTCGTTATCTCGTCGTCCTGCTCGTCGGCCTCCTCCTTTGCGCCCGCCCCGCCTGCGCCTCCCCCCCAGCCCCAGTCTCCGACGCCGATGCTGGGGCCAGGGCCGCGCCGACGGCACACGGAGCGAGATGCTTTTAGATGGTGCGGCTCTCTCGACGTGCGCCAGCCTGCATGGTGACGGGCTCCGTACCTGCACCATGCCCCCTCTCGTCATCTTGGTGGCATATTGGGCGCCACCTAGGGCTATCTAGAAGCCGCAGGAGGCCTCTTCAGGGGGAACTAGGGCGTGCTGGTATAGGCACTAGAGCGCGATAAAACACGAATGACGATTATGGTAATACTGTTGATGATGGCTCGCCCGCTCGCTCGTGCTCACCTGCCGCCTGTGGGCCGTGGTGCCCTGCATCGCGCGCCACGCGGCGCGCGGCCGCCCAAGGGCACCGGCGCGCGCCGCCTGCGCCTGCTGGCAGCGCCTGCAGTTCACCTCCAAAGGTGATCGCGGATGACGTGGAGGGCCGCGAATGGCTGCGGATGTCTGCATCCCTGCACCCTGCAGGCGCTGGAGGGCGAATGCTCCGGAGGCAACTACTGGGAGGTCTACGTCGGGAGGATTAGGGAGAGTTGAACCCCCATTGGGGGGCTGCTACGCCGGGTCAGGCCGCGGGCAAGGCGGGATCAAGCGGGACTCAGCCAGATTAAGCCGGATGAAGCGGCATGGAGCCGGACGTCGGACCAGGGCCTCCCAGGAGTGGCGTTGCAGCCGAAGAGTGCATCGCACCACGTCCGCTCTGCATGCCATCCTGCTCTCTCTCCCTCTCGCGCGGGCGTGCCGCTCGTGGGCCCGGGCGCGGCGCGGCCGCCCAGAGGGCACCGGGGTGCGCGCCGCCTGCGCCGGCAGCGCCTGGGACTCCCGGCGCCACCCTCCCTGGCCCTCAGGCCAAGTTTCGAGCAGGGAATGAACTGCAGAACTGATTTGCCCCAGAATCCATCTGACCGCAGGGTCCACGACGAAAACCTTGGGCTGCCCCGTAAATCTACGGAGCATTCTACCTGTGTTGTGCAGACTCGGCGATCAAGTCAAGCTTGGGGTACACCAATTCAGTAGTCGATCCCCTCCCCATACTCGAGAATTCTGCAGCTTGTCCACCAGGATTCTCTGGCCCTGCCCGAGTGCCCCGATGTTCGAGTCGGATGGCCCGAGCCTTCTGTGAACCATGTGCGTGCTGTGGCTTTGGAGCGCCACCGCCCGCGCTCTGCTGCCTGGGAGATCTGTCCGAGCTGGCCGTAGTGGTGGGTCGCGCCTCCTCTCCTCACACAGCAAGGCGTTTTGTAGTGTAGCCGAAAAGAAAAACGCCATAAACATAATTTTTTGGCGCTCCGCGCGGGTTTCTCGGGTCAGCGCTGGACCCCCCCCTGGCGCGCGGAGTGACTTTGCACACTGCCAATGCTTGCCACGAGCCTAGTGGAAATGAGAACGCTGCCACCCCCGCTGACTGCCGCCCCCCAGGAGGAAGAGGAGGAGGGAGGAGAAGGAGGAGGAGGGAGGAGGAGGAGGAGGAGGAGGAGGAGGGAGGAGGAGAAGGAGGGATGAAGAGGAGGAGGGGAGAGGAGGAGTAGGGAGGGAGGAGGAGGCGGAAGAGGGAGGAGAAGGGATGATGATTAGGAGAGGATGATGAGGAGGAGGAGGAGGAGGCGGAGGATGAGGAGGAGGAGGAGGAGGCGGAGGAGGAGGAGGAGGGAGGAGGGAGGAGGAGGGAGGAGGGAGGTGGCAAGTTGGAGGAGGCAGAAACACTTCCGTCTATCCGAGAGCCGGCGGCGCGCCCAGGGGGGGGACAGCGAGCAGGGGCGGGCCGCCCCAGAAGGCTCGGAGGTTCTCTGGCCTTCTGGAGTCTGCTGAGCCTTCCCCGCAGGCATGGCGACACTCCTCGGAGGGCGCGAGGGCTTCCGAGAAGCCCCGCCGCCTTCTGAGCAGGCCTTCTCCCTCTCACTTCCCCCCCCCCCCTCCTCGCTCGCCCCCGAGAGGTAGCACGCCGACCTGTCGGCCAGCGTGCCCGGGGCGACGTCCGAGGCGCCACCAGGGTTAGGTCGGGCATATCCTCTCACAGGCTGATTTTGGACGACAAATAAAAAAATAGTCAAAACGATACTCAAGCATAGTAAAACCTAGTAAAACAAACACCGTCCCCAGACTTTTTTGACTACCCTTGAATGCTCCTCCTGTAGAGGGACACGCCCACTAGGGGTGCCCAGCGCCGATCCACGAGTTCCTCGCGGTCTTTCAACTTTGTAGTGGCGAGGCGAAGCGAGGCGCGGCCAATCAGCTCGCCCAGGGGGCCAAAGGCGTGCCACGACCTGCGATAAGAGGCTGCCAGTATTTCTTCTTCTCTGCCGGGGAAGACAATTATCATGTTGGGAGGAAGGGTTGGGGAAGACACAGGGTACGACCGTGCATTCCACACCTTCGACATACGCGATACTACGGATGGACTGTTCCTTTCTCCCAGCCCCATGCCCCCAACCCGATAACTGTCTTTCTGATTCGCGCGCGCGGGGCGGCCCCGGGGGGTCCCCTGACGCCAACTACCCTGGCCTGCTCGGGCCACGGATGCCAGAGCTCCCAGGGATGGTCTTCTGGCCCCCAAGATCGCGCCAAGGGACCCCAATAGAGCTCCAAAAGGGCCCAAGAGGTGAGAGGAAGGGTGGGACGGTGGGACGCCCCAAGGCTGCCCGAAGACAGTCTC